GGGCCTGGAAGGCAGAGCTGAAGCCCAGGGCCAAAGGACCTCCACCCCAGAATCTGGAAGGTGTGGCCAAAACCCAGAGTCTGGAGGGCTGGGCCACTTCCCAGATGATCTCAGAGAACAAAAGATTATTTTCAAGCCTTGAGAGCTAATGTAACGTGTTCTGCTGACTTGCTTGGTGCCTGTTTCCAATTTCTCCCATTTGTAATAGAAATGTCTAGCTTGTGCCTGTTCCACCATTGTACTTTGGAAGCAGATAACTGGTATTCTAGATTTCACAGATAAAGAGGAATTTTTGGATTTTGGACTTGGGTTGCTGTATTACGTTTTCAATGATATGATGACTGAATGTGTTTTACATGCGGCAAAGACATGAATTTTTGGGAGCCAAAGGGTGGAATGTCATGGATTGAATTGTATCCCCCCAAAACGTGTGTCAACTTGTCTAGTCCATGATTCCCAGTATTGTGTGGTTGTCCACCATTTTGTCATCTGATGTGATTTTCCTATATGTTGTAAATCTTACCTCTATGATGTTAATGAGGTGAGATTAGCAGCAGTTATGTTAATTAATCAGGACTCAGTTTACAAGATTAGGTTGAGTCTTAGACAATCTCTTTTGAGATACGAAAGAGAGAAGCCAGCAGAGAGACATGTGGACCTTATACTACCAAGAAGGCAGTGCCAGGAGCCCCTGTACCTAAGAAGCTCCTAGACAGGGAGAAGATTGATAACAATGACATTCTGCCAGAACCAACAGAGAGAGAAAAATTCCCTGGACCTGGCACCCAGAATTTGGACTTCTAGCCTACTAGACTGTGAGAGAGTAAATTTCCCTTTGTTAAAGCCATCCACTTGTGGTATTTATGTTATAACAGCACTAGTTAACTAATAATATAAACAAATGCATGGTCACACACATACAACAATATACACTATTACACAGATAACATAAAACACGCACTCACACACAAAGGTGTACACAGACGAATTCTCTGACCTCTAGAGTCTTCAGTGACCTCAGACACCATCTTCCCAGTTGCCACCTAATCCTCCAGAAGACTCCAGATACAGAGATACAAGGAAGATCTTATGACAATAAGAACTTTGCAGCTATTCAGTACTCATTAACTGTTCCAAAGCACAGTGGGCAAGGAGAAAACAAATTACCAATCAGGGAGAACACACAGGGAGTCAACCCAAAGCACTTGGTGAATCAAGGCACCAACACAGGCTAATAAGCCAGATTCCTGCTCACTCTTGGGAAGGATCTGGGAAAGGGGTCAGAGGAACTAAGCCATATGAGTTGCAGGGGAAGATGTCTCTGATGTCAGTGATATTCTAGACTCCCCTCTGCTTGATTGTGGTTCCACCTGGCAAGCATGAGGGGCTATGGTCAACTCTAGCATCTGAAGTACTCACAGCACAGGGTTCAGTGCGTTCCTATACCATAGAATGACTAGAAAGTGTCAACACTGGCTTCTGCAGGCACCCACATCATCCATACCGGCATTGAGCAGAACACAAATCTCACTGCATCCTTACAGTTTGCAGATCTCTCCACCACCATGGGAGGTACTGTGCCATGTTCAGGAGGTAGTAGATTGGGGAGATTGAGTCTGTAGACTGGATGAAGACATTGTTGTTACTGTTGTTAGTTGCCATCGAGTCAATTTCGACTCATGGCAACCCCACGTGTGCAGAGTAGAATTGCTTGGCAGGGTTGTCATAAGCAGATCTCCAAGCCCTCTTTGGAGGCCCCTCTGGGTGGATTTGAACTGTCAATGCTTTGGCTAGTAGTCAAGCGCTTAACTATTTGTGCACCCAGGTGCTCCACGGATGGAGACAGACCTGGATTTAACAGACCTGGGATCTACCAGCTGATAAGTGTATGCTTTTATACAAATTAACTGTTTTGAACCATGTGTTTGCCACTATACAATGCAAATACAAATGATGTTTTCCTCAAAGATTGCTGTGAGAATTAAGCAAAATAACTTACCTTCAAGAATTTAGTATAGTGATATTACGGATTGAATTGTGTCCCCCAAAAATGTGTGTCAACTTGGCTAGGTGATAATTTCCAGTATTGTGTGGCTGTCCTCCATTTTGTGATTTGATATAATTTTCCTATGTGTTGTAAATCCTAATCTCTGCCTGTGGTTAACGAGGCAAAATTAGGTTATGTTAAAGAGGATTAGGGTGGGATGTAACACCCTTACTCAGGTCACAGCTTGATCCCATATAAGAGGAGTTTCCCTGGGGTGTGGCCTGGATCACCATTTATCTTACAGGAGATAAAAGGAGAGATAATCAAGCAGAAAGAGACAGACCTCATGCCACCAAGAAAGAAGCACCAAGAAAGGAGAGTGTCCTTTCGACTTGGAGTCCCAGCACTGAGACGCTCCTAGACCAGGGGAAGATTGATGACAAGGACCTTCTCCCAGAACCAACAGAGAGAGGAAGCATTCCTCTAGAGCTGGTGCCCTGAATTTGTGCTTCTAGCTTCCTAAACTGTGAGAGAATAAACTTCTGTTTGTTAAAGACATTCACTTGTGGTATTTCTGTTATAGCAGCACTAGATAACAAAGACAAGTGGCTAGTCCAAGAATGTTAGCAATTTAAACCAATGTCTCTGTGTCAACAGGACTTAGCAACCAGCCCATGTCATAGCACATAACAGTGCTCCAGGATCCAAGAAGTATGCCATTCCCTCCACACAAATAGTTAAGATAACCCCACAGATGAAGGAAATCCTGAGGAAAAGGATTTGAGTGCAAGTTATTTACTTTGTAGGGAACTAAGCATGCAATTTACGGGAGTGGGGATTGAGACAGAGAAGGGAAGGCAGCCATAAAAGGGTATGTTATTGAGTAGGTTACTGCTGTTAGTAACTAGGGACAAATCCTCCCAACATCTCTGGGAATTACTACAAAACACTCCTTAAATTGTTTTACCAAAGGGAGAGGAAACTGAGGTCTATATTTATCAACTGTCATCCATCCTTGGCTGATGGTTTTTCTCAGGAGTCTTAACTCCTCAGCACTTCTAGCCAGCCCTGTGCATAAGCCAAATATGTTTCCCTAGACAGAGAAATTCCTCAGTCAGAAGGTTGTTGGTACTTAAAGTCAGAAGTCACTGGCATATGCAGAAACAGTGAGTACTCAGGAACCTTAGCAGAACCTGCCAGATTCTGCTGTAGTAAGTCCCCTGGCCACTCATATTTTTTTTTTCCAACCAAATTAAGCACATTCTGTTACGACATTGACAGGATACTTGCCAACCTCATATGATCAAATCTTGTCTTCTTTTCAGCACAGTCTGCCCTCCAAAACAGAAAATGAGGGTCTTTTTAAATGTCATATAGGCTTTCTATCTTTTACAGTATGTCCTGAATTGTTGTTGTTAGGTGCCGTCGAGTAGGTTCTGACTCATAGCGACCTTGTGCACAACAGAAGGAAACACTGCCCGGTCCTGTGCCAGCCTCACAATCCTTGTTATGCTGGAGCCCATTGTTGCAGCCACTGTGTCAATCCATCTCGTGAGGGTCTTCCTTTTCTTTGCTGACCCTCCACTTTACCAAGCATGATGTCCTTCTCCAGGAACTGATCCCTCCTGGTAACATAACCAAACTACGTGTGACATAGTCTCACCATCCTTGCTTCTAAGGAGCGTTGTGGTTGCACTTCTTCCAAGACAGACTTGTTCATTATTTTGGAAGTCCATGGTATATTCAATATTCTTCACCAACACCATAATTCAAAGGAGTCAATTCTTCTTCAGGCTTCCTTGTTCATTGTCCAGCTTTCACATGCATATGAGGTGACGGAAAACACTGTGGCTTGTACTGAATAGCTAGGTGACTAACTTGAGATTGCTAATTTTTTTTCCCCATTTGAGATTCTATGGTCTTTAAAAACAGCAAACCAATTGGACAGACTTTCTAATTACCATGTCCCCATATCTTTCAAAGTGCTCTATTTATTGTATAAGGCTGTGCCTCCCACCGAAACAGCAAACCAATTTTTCTCAAATGAGAATCTTAGTAATTATGATATTTCTGCACTCCACAGTTATCATCACCCACTTAACACCCAGCAACGTGCTCCATTGCTCTGTGGACAAAAAGTGATCCCCAACCAGAATCCTATCCTGAGTGTCTTCTTAGAGCCACTTCTATACTTGAGGTCTTAGGTTGGTTTTCCCCAGAAGAAGATCCTGAAGAAAGTATTTGAATACAAACAGTTTATTAGGAAGGTGATTCCAGAAAGAACCGGTAGAAGAGTGGGGATGTGAGACATAGAAAGGTAGGTAGTTGATACAGTGTACGGTAATAGTAGATTACCATTGAGGGGAATAGGGGTTCAGACCTCTGAGGAATGATCCTCTTAGAACATACCTCAGAGTTGTCTCATCCAATATGTAAGATAACTGGAATTTGTTTCCACCAGCTCCCACCTGTCTTTGACTAAGAGATTCTTCTGGAGCCATTAAAACTTTATCCCATCTGGCCTTCCTAAGAGCACACAAAATTTGCCCCTGTTCTCAGAGGAAGCCAGATAAGTCTCATACAGAGTCATAGGTATTCTTAGTAAGAAATCATCACAATGGACAAGGATTGTGAATGCTGCAGGAATATGAGAAATTTATCAGTTAACTTTGTGAAGGAACCAATCCAAAACATAGTGGTTTAAAACAACACTTTATTTGCCCACAATTCTATGGATCAGCTGAACAGTACTATACTGGGATGGACCGTCTGTGGCTGGATAATCTTAGAAAGCCTCACTAACACCTGAGGGCCTCTCCTGATACGGACAGGAAGGTTAGGACAGCTGGAGCCTCTCTTCTTGAGGTCTTTCATTCCCCACAAAGGTCTCAGGGTCTCAATAGCAAGAAAGAGCAAGCCATCACGCACAGTGCTTTTCAAGTCTCTATTTTTATTTTTGGCAGTATCTTAGTAAACAAAGCAAGTCACAACACCAGCCACGATTCAGTGTTCATTATGGTGAAAAATTTCCTCTACAGAGTATCTTTCCTAGAGCTCTTTTCATGTCCCGATTTCTCAGACTGTAGATAATGGGATTTAGCATGGGAGTGACCAGAGTGTAAAATACAGCTACAATGACATCCTTGCCATTGGAATCACTGGATGAGGGGAAAATGTACAATTCAATAATTGCCCCATAGTACAGAGACACGACAGAGAGGTGGGAGCCACAAGTGGACAAGGCTTTGTAGATCCTTTTGGTCGAAGGGACTCTCAGGATGGTGAACCCAATGTGGCCGTAAGAGATCAGGATACACATGAACGGAACGGTAAGGAACACCCCCCCTGCAGTAAGAATAAGCAGCTCATTGGTTGAAGTGTCTGAGCTGGACAGCTTAAGTAAGGCAGAGAGGTCACAAAAGAAGTGGAGGAGAATATTGTCTCCACAGAAGGACAGACGGGCCAGGAGCAGGGTGTGCAATAGAGCACTGGCAAAGGATAAGACCCAGGACACAATTGCTAGCAGGAAACACAGGTTCTGACTCATGATGGTGGTATAGTGGAGTGGGTGACAAATGGCCACGTACCTGTCATAGGCCATTGAGGTGAGAAGGAAGCTGTCAATATCAAAAAAGAATATGGAAAAATACACCTGAGAAATGCACCCAGCATATGAGGTGGATTGACTTTGTGTCTGCATGTTCATCAGCAGCTTTGGTGCTGTGACTGATGAGAAAGAGACATCAGTGAAGGCCAAGTGGCTGAGAAAGAAGTACATGGGGGTGTGGAGACGAGAGTCCAGCCTGATGAGCAGGATGATGAGCAGGTTCCCCAGCACAGTGGTGAGGTACAAGCCCAGGAACAAGATGAAGAACATGCCCTGCTGCTCCAGCTGGATAGGGAGCCCTATGAGGAGGAATTCAGACACACAGGTCTGATTATCCCTCCTCATCTTAGTCTTCTCTTTTGCTGTAGATGAAAAGACATACGGAAATGTGAAAGAATAAGAAATCATTCTGTCAAATAATGAGAAGATGTTTTTTAACTAATCAGTATGTGAACCTTTATCTGAATATCTCATGCACTTTTCCCAGGTAATGGAGTAGTAACGGATCCCTAGCGGTGCAGTGGTTAAGAGCTTGGCTGCTAACCAAAAGGTCGGCAGTTCGAATCCACCAGCCACTCCTTGGAAACACTGTGCGGCTGTTTCACTCTGTCCTATAGGGTCGCTATGAGTCAGAATCGACTTGATGGCAACAGATCTGGTTTTTCATTTTTTGGTTTTGGGAATAGTAATGGTCAAATCTCAGTTTAGTATGTGTCCATCTATAAAACAACAAAACCGTTTTGTGGGAACCATGAAGCATTAAAATGATTCATTGGATCAGACCATGTCTAAACTTTAGAAGTTCATCAGTTTATAACAGAAATCTGAGATTAAGAAACTAGGGTGCAAGAATAGGTCAGTAATCAGTTGTTAGAAAGACTATTACAGGCTCTCCAATTGGTCTGTTGCCCACTCGTGACCCTGCCTATTCCTTTCACACAGTGTTTGACTAATGTTTGAATTCCATGAGTTGGATCAAGATAAGAAACCAAGTGGGGTGTTCTGGATTTCACAGAAGTTAGAATTTGGATACTTGGTGAGAAATATCATAAGTAACTAGCCAAGGTGAGGTCATTAAGGACTGGAATCTAGATCAATAACAAAAGATCTAGTGACGTACCTTGTAATATAGCCATCAGTCCTTCCTTCAATAAAACTCCTTGCCACTCCTCAACATTTTCAGTCCACCATCATTCTTTCTAAAGGAATGTTTTTTGGAAGGAAAGAATAAAGACTAGTTTCTCTCCAAATTCTGACCTTATTTATTTCCTCAATTCAAATCAGATCACTTTTGGTCAAGTTTTCACAACACCATAAAAGGCATTGGTTTTTCCAGTCACATCCCGTAACTGTCCAAGAAGCTCTTAGTAATTGCTTGTCTAAGCTGTTTACCAAATAGCACCTTCTCCTTGTAAACTGATCCTAACATAGTTTTATGATACTGACACATACCCATTATTTTTCTCATTTAGAAGACTGCTTATAGTCTGAATACTGTCATTCCTGTCTCATGTTTGAACCACTTAGTCTTAGTCCAGTCTATATGAACAAAATAATAAGAAAAAAGAAATATGATGCCTATGTCTACTATGGGGCCCTGGTGGCCCAGTGCTTAAACATTCAGCTGTTAACCAAAAGGTTGGCAGTACAAATGCACCAGCTGCTCTTGAAAACACTATGGGGCAGTTCTACTCTTTCCTATAGGGTCACTATGAGTCGGAATCAACTCTACGGAAATGGGTACGGGTGTGTACTACAAAATAGAACTCATGTACTATATAAAGAGTTTTAATCGATATCAAGGTCTTTCACTTTGAGGGCTGAGAAGTGCCTCATTAAAGGATCCGTCATTCACATTAGGTATTAACCAATGATTCCAGTATCTATAAATTCTCCCAACCTGACTAAACCACAAAAACCAAACCAGTTGCTGTCAAGTTGATTCTGACTCATTGTGACCCCATGTGTTTCAGAGTAGAACTGCATTCCATAAAGGTTTCAATGACTGTGATCTTTTGGAAGCAGATTGCCAGGACTTTGTCTTGTTGCAAGTCTGGGTGGATTTGAACTGTCAATCTTTTGGTTAATAGCCAAGCTTTTAACCATTCGTGCCACCCACTGACTCTCAAACTTTACTATATGGTGTCTAAAAACCCCTATGTTCTTCTGTCCGCTAAGTTTTAAATGCTGTTAGGAAGACATTGTTACCTAGGAAGAATTACACATTCAGTTTTGCTGAACATTACTATGTTAATCATAATCACAAATATATTATTGCAATAGTGCTAATTAGCTATCTGACTGACATTTTGGTTGTTTATAATGTTTTGTTATTTCTAGCAATACTAAAGTAAAAAACATGGCTCCTATATCATTTTGCACATGGGTAAATATATCAATAACTTCTGGAAATGGAATTGTAAGGTATGTGTATTTATGATTTTAATAGATATTGTTAAATTAAAAGAAGTTAGGGTGGTAAGAAAGCCTATTGTGATGGGTTCTATAAAATAAGTCCTGCATAATAAGTAAGAGCATGTCATATGAAGATTCTAGAAAAAGGTCATCTAGGTAAGTGTAAGAACTTGAAAGAGGAAAGGGCTAGGGTGTTTGAGGAACAGAAAAATGCAGGAGTATTGTGAGCAAGGGAAGGACATGAGGTTGGAGGATTATCTAGGAGGCAGGTTATGTAATGTCTGTTCTGCCATAATAGAAAGTTTCAATTCTGTTCTCAGAGCACTAGAACACCCATGAAAAGGTTAATCAAATGAGTAATTAAAAAGTTTTAAATATCTTGCTGGCTACTAGGTGGAGAACAGACTATAGTAAGTCAAGACATCAGCAGGAATCTTAATAGAAGACTGTTGCAATAGTTCAGGTACAAATTAATGGCTATGTATACCTGGATTATGGCAGGAAGTTTGAAGATAATGAGGAGATTTGGGATAAAATTTGGAGAAAAACCCAACAGAACTCAATGGGGGATTAAAAGCAAATGAGAAGAGATAAGTGTTTATCTCATCCTCTAAAAATTTGGATAAAGGGTCATTTCCAGATAATTATTCTACTTGGAGCTGTCTGTCTTACTTTTGTTTGAGGAGGAGTAGAATCGTGCTAGCAATCATGAGCACACATTGAACACCTGCACACATAAACACACACAAACACAGATAATCGTATGGCTGAATCTAAATTCTACCCTTGTTCTAGCATGGGCTCTTACGTAATGAGCACGGATACCTTCAGCTACAACGCATGTGATGGTTCTTCCATTTCTCTCAAGAAGACCCAGAATCAGGTAAAACAGATGGATCCTCTAGGAGTCTCAAAGATACATTGAGAAAAGTGATCCGTTTACAATCAAACAAGATAGATCTATTCAGACACTCTTGTTCACAGCTCCTGAGCAATGGGTGTAGCATATAACTTTATAAACCATGGAGAGGACCCCAGAGAGAAGAACCCCCAACCTGCAAATTAGAGACTAGCAACAAATAATCACTAAATTTTCCCTTAGCTTCCCTTGGGGGAAGAAGTGTTTGTTGATAGTTTACTGTTGGGAAATAAAGATAATAGCCACAAAGCATCTACTAGGAATTTAGTGATTCACAAAACTTTTTGCCCTTTCAGTTTACACTGGGGAAAACATGATTAAAGAAACCCATAATAAACCAAGTTGGAGGTTGTAAGCTAGGTCTCTTGCCTCTGAACCCCATGTTATTTCAAGAACTCCACCTTTGCACCAACATTTGGTGTTGTCTTTTTCTTTTTTTTCATTTTTGCCGTTATAGTGGGTTTGCAATGGTATCTCATTTTGGTTTTACTGTATTTTGCATTTCTGTGTTGACTTAGGGTGCTGTGCACTTATTCATTGACTTATTGACCATGTCTTCGCTTGCAAAATATTTGTTCAAGTCTTTTGTTATTGAGTTGTTTACCTTTCTTATTATTGAGTTGTATGAGATATTTATATATTCTTGATATAAGTCCTTTGTTAGATCTATATGTATGAAATATTTTCTGTGGCTTGCCTACTTATTTTCTTGAAGGTGTCATTTGATAGACATAGTTTTTAATTTTGATGAATTTTAATTGATTATTTTTCTTTTACATCTTGTGTTTTCTGTCTGCTCACTAAAAAATCTTGGCTTCTCCAACATCACAAAGATGTTCTTTTTTGTTTTCTTCTAGTATTTTTGTTGTTTTGGTTTTTATATTTCAATCAATTTGAACTTTTTTGTATCTGGCTACTTATGCTCAGTAAAAGGTTAGTGACATTCATCACTGTTGCTTAAAATAATTTCTAATTTTCCTTCTAATTTCTTCTTTAACCTGTAAGCTAGTTAAAGTTCTTTTACGTTGTTTTCAATTATTTATTTTATTTTGCAGAAATCCTTCTGTTATTGATTTCTAACTTAATTCCATTGTGGTCAGAACACATAGTAAGTATGATTGGAACACTTTTAAAGTTACTGAGACTTGTTTTGCGGCCCAAAATATACTCTGTCTTGGTAAATAGAGGTTAAGAATATTCTATAAATATCAATTAAGTTCATTCATTTGTTGTTGTTGTTGGTTGCCATCCAGTTAGTTCAGACTCATGGTGAGCTTATGTATAATATAACAAAACATTGCTTGCTCGGTTCATAGGCAGTTCAAATCCTCTATATCTTTATTGATTTTCTGTCCACTTACTATATCAGTTATGGAAAGAGGCTTTTGGAATGTTTCAACTATAATTATGGATTTGTCTTTTTCTCCTATTAGTTTTTATGTCACTTGCTTTGAAGCAATTGTTATTAGGTACACAAAACTTTAGAATTGTTAGCTTCTCTAAATGCCTCGAACCCTTTATCATTAAGAATGACTCTATTCTGGATAATATTAGTTACTCAGGAATCCATTTTTTATATTAATATAGCCACTCCAGCTTGCTTTTAATTAGTGTTAACACAGTACCTTCTTTCCAACCTTTTACTTTTAACTCATTAGTCATAATAATTGTTTTAATGCCCTTATCTGCTCAAATTATCATCTGCATCATTTCTGGATCAGTCTCCATTGACTGATTTTTCTCCTCATTCTGGGTTGTATTTTCCTGCTTTTTCCCAACACTGGTAATATTTGACTGGGTGGTAGACATTGTGTATTTTAACTCATTGAGTGTTGGATACTTTTGTGTTCCTACAAATAGTGTTAGCTTTGTTCTGAGATGCAGTTATGTTACTTGGGAAAAGTTTAATCATTTCAGGTCTTGTTTATAAGCACTGTTAGGTGGGACCAGAGCTGCGCTTAGTCTAGGGTCAATTTTCCCCACTACTGAGGCAAGCAAGTTGTTTCTTAATGCTCTAGCCCATGCCTCCAGAATTCTAAGGTTTTTCCAATTTCACTGTTGGGAAAAAGCACTATCGTGGCCACATGTGAGCACTCAGAACGACTCATTTTATGATTCATCATAATTTTTTCATATTAACCATTGTTTTATGATTTTGTGATACTACCTTTGAAAATATTTCTTCAAGCTTAAATGAGCTCACACTAAAGTGGTTTAAATATATACGTCGGAGCAGATAATCACTAAAGCACTCTGGTATATTCACATCTTTCATCTTATATACTAGGGTCTTACAGAGTAAGAAGGTTATAGCAAAAGGTGATATGATTTAAGTCTTTTAATCTTGGCATAACGAATCAAGCTAGCCAGGCAATGTCTAAGCAACATAACAGGAAAAATACATCCTCTGCTGCTCCAACTAGATGAGGAGCCCCAGGAGGAGGAATTTGGACACACCACTCTGATTCTTCCTTTTCGTGTCTGTCTTTTCTGCCATGGGTGAAGTGCATTGAAAATATCAGGCAATGACAAATGGAAATTATCATTAACAGGTGTTCGTTGTAACTTTTATCCTAGGGAATGAGTGAATTTACAGAAAAACATCAGTTCATTGTCCAGATATTTTTCAGCTTGAATCTTCAGAATGTTTCAGTCTAGCAACAGAGAGACATAAGACTCAAAGCACCAAACAGATCTTATTCTGGGAAAGCCACTTATTCAGCTATGGGCCAGACCTGAGCTACCACTGAGATATAGAAGTAAATGACAGATGAACTCATTCCCCTTGGTGTTTATCTATTAGTGAGAAGCCTATGCCTTAGAGATAAAGGGATCTTATAGTTTATTGCCCAAAGTGGGATACTTTTGAAAGTAAAATGGGGAACTGACAAAAATGGCACTGGAGCAGCAGACATAAAATGATCTTTCCCTAGTCATCCAAGAAGGTATAGCCATCTGCTTAAGCAGGGTTTCTTTTTTATGAGGTAAAATTCACATGACATATAATTAACCGTTATAAAGTGTACAACTCAGTGGCATTTAGTCCATTCAAAATGCTGTGTAACCATCATTGCTATAATTCCAGTTCTCATGCCCATTAAGTGATCACTTTCCGTTTAAATCAATGTCTCTCTGACAACAGGATTTAGCAAACAACTCACAGCCTGACACATAACAGTGCTCCAGAATCCAAAAACTATCCCAGTCCTTCCCACAAATAGCTAAGATACCCACGCAGATAAATGAAACCCTGAGAAAAGGGATTTGAGTGCAAGTAATTTACTTTGGAGGGTCCTAGGATGCAACTTGGGGAAATGGGGGACAAGACAGGGAAGGGAAGCAGAAGGTTACTGCTGTGGGTAACTGGGCACCAATCCCCAAACATCTGTGGAAATCACTGCAAAACACTCCTTAAATTGTTTACCCAAAGGGAGAGGAAACTGAGGTATATATCCATCATCTCCCATCCAACATTTACTGATGGATTTTTCCAGGATTATTAATGCCTCAGCACTTCCAGCCAGCCCCATGCATAGGCCAAACACAAGTCCCTAGACAGGAAATTCCTCTGTCAGGAAGTTATGGGTCCTTAGAGGGAGAAGTGATTGGCATATTCAGAAACAGTGAGTACCCGGGGATCTTGGCAGGGCCTGTCATACTCTGCTACAGTTCATCCCCCGGCCACTCACATTCTTTTTTTCCCACAGATTAAGCTCAATTTGTTATGTTATTGACAGGCTATTTGCCAACCTCATATGATCAAATCTTGTAACTTCTTTTCTGCACATTCTGCCTTCCAGAAAAGAGATGAGCTTTCTGACTTTCACATACTGTCCTGAATTGTTAGGTCACTGACCTGAGATTGCTATTTTTCCTCACCCTGGTATCTATGGTCGTTAACAAAGGCCTATCAACTCCATGGATTTTATAATTGCCATATCGTTCAAAGAGCTCTATTTATTTTATAAGGCAGTGCTTCCCCTCCCACCGATATGTCAACCCAATTTACATCAGGTGAGAATCTCAGTAGTTATGCTACTCCTACACTCCAGAGTTATCACCATCCCACCAAACACCAGCAATAAGCTCCGTTGCTCTTTGACCATCAAGTGATCCTAAGCCAGAATCCTGTCCTGAGTGTCTTCATAAGACCACTTCTGTACTTACTGTGTTAGCCTGAGTTCCCCAAGAGCAAGATCCTGAGGAAAGTATTTGAATACAAGTAGTTTATTAGGAAGGTAATTCCATGAAGAACCAATAGGAGAGAGGGGATCTGAGACACGGAAGGGCAGGTACTCAATACAGTGTATGGCAATAATAAGTTAACACGGAGGGAATTGGGTTTCAGACCTCTGAGAAGTGGTCCTCTTGTACATGCCTCAGAGTTGTCCCACCCAGTGTGTAAGATAGCTAGGATTGTTTCCACCAGTTCCTACCTGTCCTTAACTAAGAGATTCTTCTGGGGCCATTAAATCTCTATTCAAATTGGCCTGTCCAAGAGCAGACAGAGTTTGCACCTGTTCTCAAAGGAAGTGAAATAGTTCTTAGTAAGAAGTCATCAGTATGACAAGGATTATTAAAGCCACAGGAATATGAGAAATGTGTCAGTTAACTTTGTGAAAGAAATCAACCCAAAACACAGTGACTTAAAACAACAATCATTTTATTTGCTCACAGTTCTATGGGTCAGATGAGCAGTACTAGACTGGGCTGAATTGTCTGCGGCTGGATGTTCTAGAAAGTTTCCCTAACAACTGTATGTCTCACTTGGTATGGCCGTAAGGTTGGGACAGCTACAGCCTCTCTTCCTGTGATTTTTCATTCTCTATTAGACTAGCATGTGTTTCTTCACAGGGCGGTCTCTGGGTTCCCAAAGAACAAGCCACCACGCGCAGTTCTTTTCAAGACTCTTAACATGTTTCCTAACATCTTATTTAACAAAACAAGTCACAACACCTGCCTAAATTCAGTGCACACTATGGTGAAAATATTCTTCTATTGAATATATTTCCCAGAGCCCCTTTCATGTCTCTATTCCTCAGACTATAGATAAAAGGATTTAGCATGGGAGTAACCAGAGTGTATAATACAGCCACAATGACATCTTTGTCATTGGAGTTTCTGGATGAAGGGAAAAAGTACAATCCAATAATTGCCCCATAGTATAGAGACACCACAGAGAGGTGGGAACCACAGGTGGACAAGGCTTTGCAGATTCCTTTGGTCGAGGGAACCCTAAGAAGAGTGGCCCCAATGTGGCCATAAGAGACCAGGATGCATACGAATGGAAGGGTTGTGACCACGACCCCCACAGTAAGGATAACCAACTCATTGATTGAGGTGTCTGAGCTGGATAGCTTAAGTAAGGCAGAGAGGTCACAGAAGAAGTGGGGGATAGTGTTGTCTCCACAGAAAAAGAGATGGGCCAAGAGCAAGGTGTGTAGTAGAGCAATGGCAAAGGATAAGACCCAGGACACAATTACTAGGGGGAAACACAGCCTTTGACTCATGATGGTGGTATAGTGGAGAGGGTAACAAATGGCCACATACCTGTCATAGGCCATTGAGGTGAGAAGGAAGCTGTCAATATCACCAAAAAATAAGAAAAAATACACCTGAGAAATGCACCCAGCATATGAGATGGATTGACTCTGTGTTTGCATGCTCATAAGCATCTTTGGTGCTGTGACTGATGAGAAAGAGATGTCGGTGAAGGCCAAGTGGCTGAGGAAGAAGTACATGGGGGTGTGGAGGCGAGAGTCCAGCCTGATGAGCAGGATGATGAGCAGGTTCCCCAGCACAGTGGTGAGGTATATGCCCAGGAACAGAGTGTAGTATATGCCCTGCTGCTCCGGCTGGATGGGGAGCCCTTGGAGGAGGAATTCGGACACTCTGCTCTGATTATCCCTCCTCATCCTGTTCTTTTGCTGTAGACCAAAAAAGAGACGGCAATGTAAAAGAATACGAAATCATTATCATGGTTTATAATAAGAACACATATTTGAACTACTCAGTGTATGACTCTTGAATATTTCATACTTTTTGCCCAGTAATGACAGTCAGTAACAGTGTGACCACAGGCTACTATGGGTCCACCTAGAAGTCAACAAAAGGTCTTTTGGAGGAACCATGGAACATCAAAATGATTTATCTGATCACCAAGGTTCAAACTTAATATTAAGAAACTAGGGTACAAGGCTAGGTAACTAACTGGTTGTTAGAAAGACTATTAAATAAAAACTAAAAAAAAAAAAAACAACAAAAAACTATTGCCGTTGAGTGGATTTCAACTCAAATACAACCTCATGTGTTACCAAGCAGAACTGCACTCCATAGGGTTTTCAAGGCTGTGACCTTTCAGAAGCAGATCATACTCCTTTCTTCTGAGACGCTGCTAGGTGGATTGGCACTGCCAAACTTTCAGTTAGTAACTGAATGCAGACTACAAAAGAGAGAGAATCTAATTGGTCTGTTGCCCTCCTTTAATCTCTCTTTTCTATTCTTCTCTCACAGTCTTTGGTTAATGTTTTATTTCCATGGATTGCATAGAATAAGACAATCCAGTGGACTGCACTGCATCTCCCAGAAATCCGGATTCGCATGCTTGGTGAGAAACTTCTTATATAACTAGCCAAGGCCAGGACTTTACCGATGGGAATCTATGTCAATAACATAAAGGATCTAGTGGTATATCTTATACTACCGCTATCAGTCTTTTCTTAACAAAATGTTTTCCCACTCCTCAACATTTTCAGTCTACTATCACCCTTTCTCTGGAAATTTTCATGGAATGGGGAGAAAAAGAAATCTAACTTCTCTTCCAAGTTCCTACCTTATTTTCTCCCACAATTCAAACCAGAGTTCTCTTGCTCAAGTCTTCAGAACACCAGGAAAGTCATTGGCTTTTCCAGTCTCATCCTGTAATTGTCAAAGAAGAAGCCCTTTATAAGTGTCTAACCTACCTTAACAAATAACACCATATCATTTTCCCATGATCTAATAGTAGTGACCCATACCTGATATTTTTCTTATAATATTTGTAACACTTCTACTCTGCTAATACCATCTATGGAAACTCTGGTGGCATACTGGTTAAGAGCTACGTCTGCTAACCAAAGGGTCAGCAGTTCAAATCTACCAGGTGCTCCTTGGAAACCCTATGGGGCAGTTCTACTCTGTCCTATAGGGTTGCTATGAGTCAGAATTGACCCTATAGCAACAGATTTTTTTTTTTCCTAGTACCTTCTATCATTCTTTTCTCTTTCTACTTCTGGTCCATTAGTCTTAGACCTGTATATACAAAACTTTACAGAATAATAAGAACATAATGGTTCTGTCTACTAAAAAACAGAACTCGTGTAATGTATAAGGGATACTAATCAATCTCAAGGTCATTCTCTGGTAGCTGAGAGGTGCCTCACTGTAGGAGTCATCAGTCTTCTTGGGGTTAAGTAAAGATTCATTTGCCTACAAAATTCTATTTGACAGACATGATCTTTAAAATCCCTAGTTCTTCGGCCCTCTATGTTAAAAATCCTGTCTGTAATTGGTTTCATTGCATTGTACAAGTGAAAAATGTTGAATTGGCAAATGTTGTACCTGTATTTTTTTCTCTCAACAAAATCTAGAATCCAGTAAAAGTGCTGGAACCTCTAAGTCTCAAAGATACATTGAGATGACTTATCTGTTCACAGCAAAACAAGGTAGATTTATGCAGACACTCTTTTTCACAGCGCCTGAGAAATGGGTGTGAGATCTAACTTTATATATCACGGAGAGGACCCCAGAGGGAAAGACACTCAACCCCCAAATTAGAGACAAACAACAAACAATCACTAAATTTTCCCTTGGCTTCCCTTGGGGGAATAACTGTTGTTGATACCATGCAATAGGAGAGTTCACCCTTGGGGAATAATGATAATAGCCACAGAGCATCTACTAAGAAATAAGTGATTCACAAAGTTTGCCCTGTCAGTTCACACAGGGGAAAATGTGATCAAAGGAGCCCTTAATAAACCAAGTTAGAGGTTGTAACCCAGGTCTCTTGCCTCTGAACCCCATGTTATTTCAAGAACTCCACCTTTGCACTAACATTTGGTGTTGTCAATTTTTTTTTTCATTTTGCCATTATAGTGGGTTTGCAATGAGATCTCATTTTGGTTTTACTGTATTTTGCATTTCTATGTTGACTAGGGCTGGACACTTATTTTTGTACTTATTGAATCTATTTTCTCTTGCAAAATGTTCATTCAAGTCTTTTGTTACTGAGTTGTTTAACTTTCTTATTACTGAGTTGTAGGCGATATTTATATATTCTTTTTTTTCCTTGCTTTTCTTTTTTTTATTGTTATGCTTGAAATGAAAGCTTACAATCCACGTTAGTCTCTCATATAAAAATTTATACTTACATAGCTATGTGACCCTAGTTGCTCTCCCCATACTGTGACAGAACACTCCGCCTTCCCACCCCGGATTTCCCGTGTCTGTTCAACCAGCTCTTGACCCTCTCTGCCTTCTCATCTCACCTCCGGACAGGAGCTGCCCATTTAGTTTCATGTATCTACTTGAGGTAAGAAGCACACGCCTCACGAGTATCACTTTATGTCCCATAGTCCAGTCTGAAAAGTTGGCCTCAGAAATTGTTTTAGTTCTGGGCTGATAGAGA